TTTTAGAGGAACTTTTAGGTCACTTAAATCCCATCCTACCCTGGTAACAGTACTTAACTTTCAGATTTTTTTCCTAAACTCAATTTTTTATGTTTTTAGCATGGATAGAAATGTGTGAATCTATCTCATTTTCCTGTCAGGAAGGCACAAAGAACAAGAAGAGAAAGGAAAGCCAAAGCTGTTGATCTGGAAAGCAGGACTGAAAACTCTCATCACTACATCAATCAGGGAGAAGGACACTTCTGCAGGACTTCTGATTTTTTTCCCCAGTAATGTCTCCTTACGATCTGTGAAGAAGCACCTCTGGGGCTTCCTGTTTATTTACTTTAAAAATACACTTTGTCTTATAGTGGCTTTTCTTTGTAGAAATTTTAAATATTGGTAATATAAATATCATAGCTGTAAGTGTGAACCCTGAGTTTTACAACCCCGACAATTTACAAAAGCAACTGATAATTCTCACCTCTATTTCTCACAAATAGCTGCAATTTATTTGCCAACATATTGCGCAGGCTTTTTCTAATCATATTTCTGGTGTTTGTGAACTTTACAACAGATGTGCCCATAGGACTAACACCTGCTGGGTGATGGTTTTCGCATTCCCTGAGATGCCTATCATCTGGCCCTAGTGCTTTTCATAGATTTCCTGCACAAGTAGTGCCACAATATAGAAAGTTCTGCCTACATTTACCTCAGTCCCAAACCCACTTGCTTGAAGTAAAACTAATCTCACCTGCCTCATCCTTTTTGCCCAATTTTACCTTAAGTGAATAGTAGATTAGGATGGGGGAGGATTGGCAACAGTGGTGAAGCTGTGCTCTGTGGTAATGATGATCCAAAGCATGTAGGTCTGCACATGCATAGCTAAGTGGTGAGTAAATAATAGGATTCTTTTGTCATCTCATCCCTAAGAAAGAGGCAGGAAGATGCTCAAACTGCAGATGAGAGAACAGATGTGTGCTCCATTCACTCCTTCACCATGGAATCTGCACACACAGAAAGTCCTAAGAGCCCAAAAGTTGCAGTGGAATCTGCAGAGGGTCATCCTCCTCCTTTAATTCTTCTACCTCTGTCCTGATCTTTAGATCATGTCCATTGGCTGAGGAGTTCTCACTAGTTTGGGGGTAGATGTATGATGATGCATGTATCATAAGCCACCCATGATTTTGATGATTGCACATTTGCACACTCTCTAACATGACAGCTTTCTTGATCTAGATATTAAAGGAAATCTTAAACATGAGGGCCCCCCAGTATTCAATATCACCTCTAACAAATGAAAGTTCTGAAGGTTTTAGACATTTTTTTTCCATGTGTGATCTCTTTTTCTCATCTACTCATTTAGCCTTTCCTTTCTCTTACCAGATGTGGATTCTTCATATGTGACCTATTTCAGAAATTCATGTTAGATTCACTGTGATTTACACATACTTACATACAGGATGTCAAGACAGGGCATCTTGATTTCTCCAGTGCATAAAGCACAATATTAACACCTGTTAAAAGAGGGTATCCAGTTACCAAGCTGTCAGCATCACTCCTAAAAACATTATTGAGGACTGTTTTTCAGATCACCCCACTGATGTCAGAAAGATTGTGCTCTGTCCTGGGATCTCCTAGACTTCGCTGTTCCAGGCATGAGTGTGGTGAATCACAGGAGGAAAGTTGTGCTGAAGGATTTCTGTTAGCTTCACTCTAAGAATGGTCCCCATTCCTCAGGATGATTTCTAACAACAATGGTACGTCAGCATGGACATCACTATAGAACTTTTGTTAAAATACCACTATGATATATTTATATAATTTCAATCATACATATATTTCATATGCAGTATTTACTGATATGATTTGGTTCAAAACTGGAGATATCAGGAAAATTAGAAAAGTATTTTTCTGGGGTTTCTCTGGGCACTACGTGGAGATAGAATAGTTGTGCTTAGGATCACATCAAATTGTGTCCCTTTCTTTCATGCATATATTAGGAAACAGTCTAAATTTTTCCTGTTACTAATACAGAAATTCACTTTCAGAAAACAATTTTTCACTGTTTTCAAGGCAATGAACTCAAAAAAAAAATCCACACATTCTGGAGTGTTATTGTAAATTCATGGATGGCTCTGTTCACACCTGGTTTTCATTACTGCTGTTCGCAGGCCTGCAGATTCCTCAGTCACACTGAACTTAATGTCATCCAATGGCTTGAGACACAGGTGATTCAAAAGTTTTAATCAATCAGTATTTTAATGCTTGTTTTTATAAGGCTCAAATGTTTAAAATGAATTAAAGCAGATCCTGTATGTCACAGAAATGATACGATAGAAAGGAATTTTGTTTTTATAATACAATTTTTTTCCTATTGAGGGAAGAAATTTCAAGACAATTTTTTTTGTTACTAGGGATTGTACCCAGGATTAGGGTTAATAACTCAGCAACATACCCAATCCTTTCTACTTTTTATTTTGAGTCAGGCTCTTATTAAGTGACTTGGGGCCCTGGTAATTTATTGAGGCTGATTTTTAATTTGGTATCCTCCTGTCTCAGACTCCTGTGAGTGGCCTAAAACAATTTTTAAAAGTTATGTAAATGTGAATTTATTTGTACTTATAGTGTAAATACCCATAAATATTTGATTTGTGTAAAATAATTAATAAGAATAGGCATATAACATTTACATGTATGCTGATGTTACAAAATAAGAGAACCCAGTACTAGTGATCAAATGTAATCCATAAAAGCTTGGATACATATGGACATTTGATGTATATCTTTCTAATCTTTTTATCCTGGAATTATAATGCAAAACAACTGCAAAACACTAAATGAGTGAATGGATCAAATTTTGTCAATTTTCCTGATCATTGCTTGGGGAAAAATTGTCCTTTGCTCGTGGTGGTAGACAGTTTTCATTTTCCACAAATATTGCACATTGGTACTCATACATTGAACCTGAAAATTTCATCGTACAGAAACTGAGAAGAGAAAAGTGTCCTATATCTCTTATTAAAAATAGAATGAGATAGATGGTGGATAAGGAATGCCAAAAAAAGTTAAGAGTGAAAAGTAACTCAGGATTTAAAGTACAATAGGGTGGTTGCCATCAATGATAATTACTTATAAAATTCAAAATAACCAGAAAAGCATTTCAGGTTTCCAACATAAAAATGAGAACATTTAAAAAAATGGAAATTGACCTGATTTGATCACAACAAAATGTTTACACATGTTGGATTATAATTCTGGATCCCAGATCCAAGTAAATTGTTAGATTCCAATTAAAATAAACAAAAATCAACATTTCAATGTTTTAACCAAATATCTACATAAACTCAAGTTTTTACATGGTATTCCATATTTATGAGTATTTAGCTTTTCTTAGTTTCTCTTGGTATCTTTTTTCAAAATTAATTAATTAATTAATTTATTTATTTATTTATTTATTTATTTTGGTACTGGGTGTTGAAATCAGGGGAACTCAAATACTGAATGAACAACATCTCCAGCCTTTTTTTGTATTTTATTTAGAGACAGGATCACAGTCAGTTACTTAGCACCTCGGTTTTTTTCTAAGGCTGGCTTTGAACTTGTGATTCTCCTCTTTCAGCCTCCAGAGTCACTGGGATTAGAATCTTGCACCACTGCACCCAGCCTTAGTATCTTGACTGACAGATTTACATGTTGTAAAGAGCCATGAAATGATTTAGCCTTACATGCAGGATTTTCTGATGTCATTTATTTTTTAATATATGGCTGGAAACGATTTAAAAGACATACTTACTATTTCAGGCACTTGAATTAAAGCACAACATGTCTGTATAGGAAATATCTCATTGGAAGTTTAACATCAAATTTTCTATATCAAATTCATTTTTGGGCCTCTGAACTGAAAAGTTGCTTGCTTCCTGGAAGAGATAATAAGACTCTTTTGAAGGCATGAGTAAAATTATTTTTTTAATAAAATTCTTACAATTGAACTGAGTATGTATTTTTATCCGTGACATTAATTATGACCCTGATTTCAGATGACTGAGTAGAAAAGATTAGAATATGTTCTTACTAGTATTTGAAACTGGACTTGGATCACTTAGGATAGCTATTCTGGTGATGATAATAACATGCATATAAGATAGATGGCTACACTGTGGATTCAAACACAGTCCTAAAATATGACCGAAAATCTTAGTTCAGATAGTGATAACATGCTCCAAAATTATAAAACACTTTCAGGCAGCAACAGAAGTAGTTATTAAAATAACTGAATTAAGTTTTCCATGTAACATGCATGAGAAACTGCAGAATTAAAAAATACTGGCCAATATTTTTCAAGGTCATTATATGTCAGAAACACTTCATATTTGGAACTTCATCTTCTGCACAAATAACAGCTCTAGAATTAAGGTAATATTACTGCCCAAATTTTGTAGATGAGATGATCAGTGTTTAGTATCAAAGACTGCTTAAGATTACACTTGAAAGTAATGGAAGATCTCAGGTGAAATTTCAAACAATGTGTTAGAGTATGTAATTCTTAATATTGGCTCAGTTGATATATTGACAATATTAGGTCTGGTAATAAACCAAAATAAAGATGGCACTGAAATAATATACCCATGTATAAAACCAAAAATTTGTAGAACTTTCAAGGTGTACTTAAAGCTTAACTAAGAAGAGAAAGATAAAAAACAAGTCAGGATCTATACCAGAAAACCTCAAGATGAGATTATAATCTAAAATTATTTTCAATAGCACATGGTAATTCTGAATGGATAAAAAAGTTGATACACAGTTGGAGCCACACTATTGTTGCATAATTCAGGAAAATGATACCTGAAGAGCATCAGAGAGCCTTGAGTGCTGAAGTGAGAAAGGTGTGTTGGGGTGAATACACACATTTTCTGATGGTAATAGAACAGGGTGAGATTCAAGGGGTGACAGTGTTCGGAATTAAGTCTTTTTCTTCATTTTCTCCTTAGATATATACTACATGATTCTTTCCCCAAAAGATGGAAAAGAACTACCAACTATATAATTATATTAGTATAAAAAGTGCATTTTTCTCTGAAGTTGGCCTTGGGATCTCAGGCAACACCATTCTTCTTCTCTTCCACATCTTCACATTTCTTCTCCAGCACAGGCTTAAGCCTATCGACCTGATCATTGGTCTCTTAGCCCTAATCCACCTGGGGATGATGATAATTGTGGTGTACACAGCTACAAATATTTTTGTGTCTCAGGACTTTTGGGATGACATCAAATGTAAATCCATAATCTACTGGCACAGGTTTTTCAGGGGCTTCTCTATTTGTGCCACCTGCCTGCTGAGTGTCCTCCAGGCCATCACCCTCAGCCCCAGAAGCTCCTGCTTGGCAAAGTTTAAACATAAATCCCCACAGCAGACCCTTTGTTTTCTTTTTTTCTTGTGGGCCTTCTACATGTCCTTGAATACTCACTTCTCATTGTCTTCTACTGCCATTCCAAATGTGACCTCAAATGTCATTGTGTTTATTACTGAACCCTGCAAAATTGTACAAATGAGTTATTTCCCCAGGCATTTATTTTCTGTATTTGGTATATTCCGGGATGTCTTTCTTATAGGACTTATGGCGCTCTCAAGTGGCTACATGGTGGTTCTCTTGTGCAGGCATAAGAGGCACTTTCAGCACCTTCATAACACCAGCCTTTCTCTAAAAGCATCCCCTGTACAGAGGGCCACCTGGACCATCCTATTGCTTATGAGCTTCTTTGGGCTCATGTACTGTTTGGACAGCATCTTCTCCTCTTCAAGAACTATGTGGAGCAATGATCCTGTCTGTTATTATATCCATTTGATGGTGTCCAATGGCTATGCCACAACATGCCCTTGGCTGCTAATCTGTACTGAAAAACGAATTATTAACTTCTGGAAATCTTTCTTGGTGAAGATAGAACATATTTAACTACTGATGATAGATAAATTTCCCTAATCTGCCAATACACTGGCTTTTGAACAATAAATCACAGCATAGAATATATGCTCTCTGGATTAAGAGACTATGGACATATGCATGTTGGGTTAAATCTGTTACTTTGAGACATGTGAATAACAAATATATTATAGAAATGTCAATGTTTTACCTTTTTGAGATAACACAAGGGCCCAACTTATTTGCTTGGTGTAAGCAAGAAATTCTTATGAGTCTCACCTTCATGATCTGAGTTATCTATTATAAACACATTAAGAGTGTATATCACTTTTTAATAAGTGCTTAAATGAGCTGTATTGTTCCTAACAAAAATGTCAATAATTTGTGCCAAGAATTACTGCCTTTTCTATTAACTTTTATTTTATTGTCTGTTAAAAAGAATTGAATGTAAGGACTCAAATTATCATATGTACACCAGAGCTCATAGTAGCATTATTAATGACAACCCCTGGTGGAAACATCAATGCCCCAAATCATAGGAATGTATAAGTAAAACATGGCCTGGACATACCATGAAATATAATTTAGCCTGGAACAACAAAAAAAAATTCTGAGGTAGTAATTAGTGAACTTTGAAGACATTATTGCAAGTGACCTATCAGTCACAAATTATCCAATGCTGTAATATTTTAATGTAGAAAGTGGAACTGAGAGTATAAACCTATATAGACAGAAAATAGAATGATAGTTACCAGGGTCTGAGAAAGTGAGTCAGTGTGGTTCTCCAATTGGACAGCAACACAATAGTTTGAGAAGAAAAAGTGCTAGAGATGGATTATGAATGTATTCACAACAGTATGAATGTGCTTGCTGAGTCTAACCTGCACTTTTAGAGAGCATCACAAAGTTCAATCACAAGAATGGGTCCCAAATTGAAATGGGTGGCACCTCATATATGTATAATATTTCATACAACTTATTGCTATGCATATCTAAAACAACAAATAAAACAAAGCTTTTGGAATAAAAAAAATGAAAGGATCAAAATGGTAAATTTTCTGTCATGTGCACTTTACCATGACAAAAGTTGCCCAATGACCTTCTTTATATTAAGTGAAATATACCCATTACAGAAGGACAGACACCACATGTTCTCATTCATTTGTAGGAAACAATAAGTAGTTCTAGTAGAACAGAATGGAATGGTGGTCACCAGAAAATGGGAGAGCAGGGAGAGGACAAGTGGAAAGAGTTCATGGAGGGGTATAAAAACAGAATGGAGAAATCACTTTGCGTCAATAACTTTGGCACAGTAGGGGGACTATTGGTTAAAACAACTTAAAATGTGCAACTTAAAATTCAATTGAAAAACTTAAAATTAAATTAAAATTCCAAAAACAAAAATAACAGCTGAAGAGATTAAAATACTTATTTCTATGGTCTGATTTTACAACTTATATACATGTACTGAGTTATCATAATGTACCCTGAAAAAATTCGTATATAAAAATATACCCTTAAAGAGAGTTTCTATTCCACAGAGTTCTTGAAATTCTAGACAAAAAAATTAGATAGACAAAAGAAATTAAAGAAATACAAATAGGAAAAGAAGAACTCAAACTACCATTATTTACCAATAACAAGATTCTATACTAAGAGGATCCAAACAAATCCACCAGAAAATTTCTAGACTTAATAAATAAATTCAGCAAAGTAGCAGAATATAAACTGAATACCCATTAACCACATGCATATCTACACATCAGTGATAAATCCTCTGAAAGAGAAAGTAGGAAAAGTATCCCATTCACAAGAGTCTCAAAAAAAAAGTATCCCATGCTCTTGGATAAGCTAAGTCAAAATTGTCAAAATGCCCATACAACCCAAAGTGCTATACAGATTCAATGTAATTCCAATTAAAATCCAAACATTATTTCTTATAGAAATAGAAAAAACAATCACGAAATTCATTTGGAAAAGTAAGAGACCCAGTATAGGATCAATGGCACAGAATAGAAGACAGAGAGACAAACTTAGATAAATACAGGTATTTCATATTAGACAAAGTGACAAAGAACATACATTGGAAAAAAGATAGCCTCGTCAACAAATGGTGTTGGGAAAACTGGAAATCCATAGGAGCAAAATAAAATTAAACCACTATCTTTCACCATGTACAATACATAACAAAGTTTATCAAGGACCTAGTAAATAGACCAGTGACCCTACACCTAATTGGAAAAAAAGTAGTCCCAAATCATTTTCATGTCAAATTAGGCTTGACTTTCTTAACAAGACTACTAAAAAGCAAGAACTAAAATTAAGAATCAATAAATGGGATGGATTCAAACTATAAAGTTTCCTCTCAGAAAAATAAAAAAAAAATAAGGTGAAGAGACAGCTTACATTTTGGGAGTAAATTTTTGCCACAGGCATGTCAGATAGAGCACTGATAGATAAAGAACATAAAAATCTTAACACCAAGTAACAAACAATCAATAAATGTGATAAGGGGCTGAACAGATACTTCTCATAAGATATACAATTTATCAACAAATACATGAAAAATTTTCAACATCCCTAGCAATTAGAAAAATGCTAACCAAAAGTAGTTCAGTCAGAATGGCAGCTATTAAGAATAAAAACAAGGACTGGGGTTGTGGCTCAGTGGTAGAGAGCTTGTCTAGCATGTGCAAGGCACTGGGTTTGGTTCTTATCAGTACATATAAATAAGTAAATAAAATAAAGATCTATAAACAACTAATAAAAATATTAAAAAATTATAAAAACAACAATAAGTGTTGGCAAGAATGTGTGGAAAATGAATATTCAAACATTGCTGTTGGGACTGCAAATTGGTTCAGCTAATATGGAAAGCAGTTTGGAGATTCCATAGAAAACTGGGAATGAAACTACCATTTGATCCAGCTATCTCACTCTTGGGTCTATACCTAAAGGGCTTAAAAACATTATACTATAGGAACACAGCCACATCAATATTTGTAAAAGCACAATTTACAATAGATAAATTGTGAGACCAACTTAGATGTCCTTTAGTACATGAATGGATATACACAATGGAATATTACTTAGCATTAAAAGAGAATAAAATTATGGCATTTGCAGGTAAATGAATGGAGAATATAGTGCTAAGTGAATTAAGCCAATCACAAATAAGCAAATGCTGGATGTTTTCTATGATATAAGGATGCTGATTTATAATGGGGATGTTGGGGAACACGGGAGAAATAGACAAACTTTAGATAGAGCAAAGGAGAGAAATGGTAAGGTAGGGGGGATTGCGGCAGGAAAAATGGTAAAATGATATGGACATCATTACCCTAAGTACACGTATGAAGACATGAATGGTGTTATGCTACTTTGTGTATAACCAAAGACATGAAAAATTGTGCTCTATATGTGTAATATGAATTTAATTGCATTCTGCTGTTATGTATAACAAATTCAAATAAATAAAAATAGATGAATAGATAAAGAAAATGTGGCACATATACACAAAGAAACATTACTTAGCATTAAAGGAAAATAAAATTGTGGCGCTGGCAGGTAAATGGATGGAGATGGATAATATCATGGTAAGCAAAATTACCCAATCTTAAAAAAAGGGGGGGACTGAAAGTTTTCTCTGATAAGTGTATGCTAATCCATAATGGGAGGGTCATGAGATGAGTGAAGAAATTTGGAGGGAATAGAAAAAATGGTGAAATGAGATGGACATCATTACCCTAGGTACGTGTATGATTGCAAGAATGATGTGAATCTATTTCATGTACAATCAGGGAAGTAAAAAATTCTGCTTCATTTGTGTACAATGAATTGAAGAGCTATCTACTCTCATGTATAACTGATTAGAACTAATAAAAATGTATTTTGAAAAAGAATGAGAATTGTGCTGGTTATGTGGCTCAGTAGTAAAGTGCTTGCCTGGCATGCATGAGGCCCTGGGTTCAAATACCCAAGTACCAAAACAAAAAAAGAGAGAGAGAATTATAAAAAAAATGTTTTCAGTAACCTTATAAGCATCTGTGAAAAAACTCTTAAATACAATTTATTTTACATGTCATGATTCAAAGTATTCCAAAAAATAATTTTTAGAAATCTCCTAACAGTTTTAAGGCTTTTTAATGAATTGGGTTCAAGTCACATTTTTGGTTTTTTGTTTCGCTAGGGATTGAACCTAGCAGTGATTGAACCCAGCTCTGATTAACCACTGAGCCACATCCCAGGCCCTTTGTATTTTTTATTTTGATACAGGGTCTCAATAAGATGCTTAGGGCCTTGCTACATTATTTGAGACTCTCTTTAAACTTCAATCATCTTGCCTGAATGTCTCAAGTAGCTGGGATTACAGGTGTGTGCCACCTTGTAATTTATCTGAAGAAGGAGGAGGGTTTTTTTAAGCAGATGTCTGGGCTTCTCAGTCTTATAAAGGTAGACTGCCTCATGTATCAACAGGTTCTTCATTTTCTTGGTAACATATTTTACATGAGGTCAAAATGTCAAATTAAAATTGTAGAGGATTAGATGGAAAATTATTGGCCTTAATAATTCATGCTATGAAAATTAGGTATTTGTAGTACTGTTTTAATCAGAAAAAGTAAAAAAAGACAACAGAGTTACTTTTCTAAATAGAAGTCAATATTTTATGGCATTGAATATTTCAAATGATAACTGTGGGAAATGCTGTAATGTCATAATCTACTGCCTCCTAATATCATTGCTCCTCTCTGGTAATTATTGCCTTTAAAGTTTTGACCTAAGAAACAACTAAAAATTAAGGACTGGTTCAGGTAACTTGTAAAAAGGTTGCACATATATACCTTCTAAATAACAAGATCATAAAAATACACAATAGCACTGCTTTAATTAATGATCATGTCCAACTACTTGAAATGATGGGATGCTGAGGCACAGGAGTTGCAGAGAAGGAGAAGAGAAGGAGATATGGAAAGATCCTTCATCAAATAAGCTCTAGACACAGCATCAAGATGTCTGAAAAGATGCTCAACAGC